AATGAACCTACAGGTAGAATAATTTTTTGACTGGTAGTAATTAATTAGCAAACCCTTCTAAACAGTGATTTGGGTGTGCTTCTTTGTCCTTTAATATGCCAACAGTATAAGTAAAAGAAAAAAAAATCTAAGTAGAAGATCTATAACTTAACTGATAGAATTCAGTCAAGTGCATAGTAAAAAAACCCATCATTCTTTTAGTGAAATTTTAATTATAATTTAAATATTGCTTAGTTCAAATAACCTAGATTTAGTCTACTCTTTGTTCTGTTATGAAACAGGCCTGGATATCTATTGAAGTAAATCTTACAGATTCATTTAGTAGGAATCTATTTCCACCTGGGAAGAGACGACAGAAAGGGGTTTTGGGAGAGATGTTTTAAATGTATTAAAATATGCATTTTAGTACCTAAATATTCTATTCTTTCAATTCTTGTTTTGGATAAATTTATATTTTTATGTGGTATTGATTTAAATTGTTAGCCTAAAGGGAAAGGAAGAGATGAAAAGGAAGGCAGACTCCTGGAATTCTAACACCTGTTGTTATTTTCTAGCATTTTCACAACATAGCGACAGATTGTTTATTGATTGCCAAAAATTTACATTCTTCCTCCAAACTCTTCCTCTCTTCCTCTTCTCTCTCTCTCTCTCTCTCTCTCTCTCTCTCTCCTCTCTCTCTCTCTCCATCTCTCTCTCTCTCTCTCTCTCTCATGTGTCTCTCTCTCTCGTTCTGATTGCAAAATATATTGCAAATTCCAAAATTTAACTGAGAATTACAGAATCAAATAGAAATAAAAAGGGCATTTTTAAACTGGGTCCCATGGGCATTTTTAAACTGGGTCCCTTAGGGTTTTTCAGTGATGCATGAGGAGGAGGCCTACTAGAAGGTTTTAACAAATTTTACTTTTATCTGTTTCATAAATTGCGATTGCCCTAAAATTTACATGGAACCATAAAAGACCCCAAATAGCCATGTCAATCTTGAGAAGGAAGAACAAAGTTAGAGGTATTACGCTACCTAGTATCAAACTATATATCAAAGGTGTAGTAATCAAAACAGCATGGTAATGGCATAAAAACAGACACATAGCTCAATGGAACAGGCTAGAGAGACCAGGAATAAATCCACTCCTATATGATCTTTTAATCTATGACAAAGAAGGCAAGAATATACAATGAGGTAAAAACAGTTTCTTCAATAAATGCTGTTGGGAAAACTGGAAAGACACATTCAAAAAAATAAAGCCTGGACCACCTTGTTACATCACATACAAGAGTAAACTCAAGATGGATTAAAGACTTAAATATAAGACCCAAAACCATATAACTAGAAGACAACAGAAGTAGCGAACTCTCCGACATTGCTCTTAGTAATGTTTTTTCTTTTTTTCTTTTTTTCTGATAAATCTCCTTGGGCAAGGGAAACAAAAGATAAACAAATGGGACTACATCTAATTAAAATTTTTCTGCACAGCAAAGGAAACCATCAACAAAATGAAAAGACAACCTACTGAATGAGAAAAGATATTTGCCAAAGATACATCTGATAAGGGGTTAATATCCAAAATTTATGAAGACTTCATACAATTCAACACCAAAAAAACCCCAACAAACAAACAAACAAAACAATTAAAAAATGAGCGAAGGACCTGAATAGGCATTTCTCCACAGAAGACATACATATGGCCAAGAGACAGATGAAAAGGTGCTCAATGTCACTAATCATCAGAGAAATGCAAGTTGAAATCATACCTGTCAGAATGGCTATCAACAATAAGTCAACGAGTGTTGGCAAGGATGTAGAGAAAAGGAAATCCTCATGGTAGGATTGCAAATTGGGACAGCCACTATGAAAAACAGTATAGAAGTTCCTCAAAAAATTAAAAATAGAACTACCTTATGACCCAGCAATTCCAATTCTGGGTATTAATTCAAAGAAAACTAAAACATTAATTTGAAAAGATACATGCACCCGTATGTTCACTACAGCACTATTTACAATTGCTGAAATATGGAAGCAACTTGAATGCCCATTCATAAACAGTTGGTTAAATAAGAGGTGGTACATATATACAATGGAATATTCAGCCGTAAAAAATGAAACCTTATCATTTGTGACAACCTGGATGGACCTAGAGAGTATTATGTTAAGTGAAATAAGTCAGGCAGAGAAAGACAAATGCCACCTGATTTCACTTATATATGGAATCTAAGGAAAAAAATAAATGAACAAACAAAATGAAAACAGACTCACTGATTCAGAGAACAAACTGATGATGGCCAGATTTGGCGTGGGGGTGGGATGGGTGAAAAAAATGAATGGATTAAGAAGTATAAATTGGTAATTCCAAATAGTCACAGGGATGTGAAGTACAGCATAGGAAATATAGCCGATAATATTGTTATAACCATGTACAGTGCCAAGTGGGTACCAGACTAATCCAGGGGAATCAATTTGTAAATTATATAAATGTTTACCTACTGTGATATGGCTCTCATCTCAATGCTCTTGTCTCCATGTCACATTACTTCTTACCATACATAGTGGTCTGCATATTTAAAATCCTTAATAATTCAAACCACAAGTAGATGCCATTATTCAAGACATCTTAAATTCTTACTAGTAATTGAGACATCAGGTCATATTCCAACTTCAATGGTTTTACAAATTAAGCCTCAATTTCTTTCCAGTAAAATTGTCATGTCTTCCTTATAAAGAGTAATGTTGATATTGTAGATATAAAAATCTTAAAAGAAATAATGCACAGAATACATGTATAATTGCTTGACAAACTGGTAGTAAACATATGTAAGTTTCTTTCCATTACAATCAATTATAAAATAAGATATACATAAGTGCATAAGCAGGCATTAGTAGATATTACTTCTGTATAAGAGGCACATTTCAAATATTTTACTTTTTTTTCACTAAGATATTTCAATTCTAAACTTTCTGGCAATTGGTATATACTCTTTAGAATGTAAGTCTCTTTCACAAAACTTTCCTTTGGGCAAAAACTGTTTCCAGTGATTAAAGCATATAAAAATTTTATCATTTGACACTCTCTGACCTATAAAAATTCAGTTTCATTTATTTCGACCTAATAATTTTAGCTTTTCATTTCTAGCACAGTGTCTGGCATCATGTAGATGTTAATAAATTGTTGAACTGAACCATTGAACTAAACTTAGAAGTAACAGCTTTTCCCCCAAATAATTATTTTTAACAAGAAGTAATAGGTAAATGTGTTAGAAGTAAGAGGAATCAAATTGCCAATGATTCACTCTCTCTCTCTCTTTTTTTTCCCCCAGGTTTCTAGGATAGGCATATGAAAATAAAAGAAAGGACTCTAACCCAATTATGGATTTCAAAGAAAGATTCCTCAACACACAAAGGAAGAATTAAGTGGTGGATAGCCCTCAAAAACATGTCCTTTTGCCACAATATAATTAATATTTCCTGTGTGAAAAGCAGCTGGTCAAATGATGTCCGTGCTTCTCTATACAGTTTGATGATGATCATAATTCTGACCACACTGGTTGGCAATCTGATAGTTATTATTTCCATATCACACTTCAAGCAACTTCATACCCCAACTAATTGGCTCATTCAATCCATGGCCACTGTGGACTTTCTGCTGGGATGCCTGGTCATGCCGTATAGCATGGTGAGATCTGTTGAGCGCTGCTGGTATTTTGGAGAAGTCTTCTGTAAAATTCACACCAGCACTGATATAATGCTGAGCTCAGCATCCATTTTCCACTTGTCCTTCATTTCCATTGACCGCTACTTTGCTGTGTGTGACCCACTGAGATACAAAGCCAAAATCAGTATCTTGGTTATTTTTGTGATGATCTTCATTAGCTGGAGCGTCCCTGCTCTTTTTGCATTTGGAATGATCTTTATGGAGCTAAACATCAAAGGAGCTGAGCAGATATATTACAAACACACTCACTGCGTAGGGGGTTGCTCTGTCTTCTTTAGCAAAACATCTGGGATATTGGCCTTTATGACTTCTTTTTATATACCTGGATCTATTATGTTGTGTGTTTATTGTAGAATATATTTTATTGCTAAAGGGCAGGCAAGATCAATTAATGATTCAAATCCCAAACTTCAAATTGGATTAGAAGAGAAAAACAGAATTTCACAAAGCAAAGACAGGAAAGCAACAAAGACTTTAGGAATTGTGGTGGGAGTTTTCCTAATATGCTGGTGTCCTTTCTTTGTCTGTACAGTCATGGATCCTTTCCTGGACTATACTATTCCACCCACCTTGAATGACACATTGATTTGGTTTGGCTACTTGAACTCTACTTTTAATCCAATGGTTTATGCATTTTTTTATCCATGGTTCAGAAGAGCACTGAAAATAATTCTATTTGGTAAGATTTTCCAAAAAGATTCATCTAGGAGTAAATTATTTTTAGAATCAAGTTAATAGCATTATAATATTTTACTGTCTTGCAAAACAAATGATGATCATATTTATGAGCGCAACATCATCAACCACATGTACAAACTGCAGGGTCTCTTACCAATTATTTGAGTCAAAGAATGTATAATGAGACGTGATGCTTATATCTTGTTTCTATTTGAGATATAGTGGATATGATCTTTGTCATTCTTAATATACATATCAAGTTTTGAAAGTCTAGAATTTAAGGTCCTATATTTAAAAAAAATCCTTTTCTGCTTTTACATGAACTGCCATTAAATTGACAGTGGGCCCTTACTCAGTTGTTGAGTGGTAGAAAATATGGGGCTGCATTTGAAAATGCAAGTTAGAGTGACTTTGTCATTCATTTGTTTGACTCTATATGTCTTTTTGTAAAACCAACTAAAAGTATACATTAAATGTTATTTATTAAATAGCTATGTATATATAATTTGTTATTTATCATGAATCCTTATTAATATATATTCCAGTTCTTAACATCTTGATTTTCATCTTTTTACAATAAGTTTTGCTGATTCTCATACTTTAGGAAATTTAGAAAATAAAGGAAAAAACCAAAATCAAATACTGTATAGAAATAAAAAATAAAGATATAATTTACTTCTCACCTCCTGAAAGAACTGTATTATTTAAAATTCTTAAAAACAACATTTTTTTTGGTGACCGTATAATAGTACATTGTATGGATGTACAAAGATATTTTTTAACCATTTCCCTATTGTTGACCACTTCAGTGCTTTTAATTACTTAAAAAAAATATAGAAATTAAATCAAGTTTCTGCCTGTTACCTTCTACTTCAGCTCATAAAAGTGTCTTGAAGGATCCCACCATATATATTTAAAGGTTATGCCAGGCATGGTAGGACTCAAAATATAAACTGCATGAAGTAAAACAAGTTCACTTGCTGGGTTTTAGGCTACATTGAAAGAGAGGCAGTCATCCATCAATGCAGCTAAATCTTAAGGATAACAAGAGGTATAATCAGAATAGACATTCAATGCCTATTAGAATGACATATTCAGAAAGAAAAAAAGAGGAACAAACAGTGGTTTCAAATAAAATCCTTTAAAAGGAAGTGAGCAAACATTCTAAATTAAAAGCATAGATTTGCAATTGAGCTGTTTCTCATACAGACTTCCTGAAGCCTGTTTCACGTTGAGTAGCACCAGGAATTTGGATTTAGTTATTTAATAGTAGTGACTTAGGCTCATGAGTAAGTTAGGTCAAGGCAGCTAATTTTAAATGAAACTAAGATGCACATTTCCTGCATGTAAATTTCTGTTCACAAACCTGATGATCTTCTGAAGATCTGTTAAATCCTTCCATCTGTTACAGTCTGTTTTAGGGCTACATATTTTGATTCACTGATCTGACTAGATTTTTGTTCTAGTCCACTTAAAAAGCACTTGGAGTTATCTTTTCATTTAGAATAGAGTAAGACAAATTGCCCCTAATCACTCCCAATTTCAAAAACTTCCTTGACTTTTTTCACCTGTGAGAACATTCTGTCAAGTTTTAAAAAGGGAACAAAAGCATTTAGACAGTTCTCTGTACCTTACAGCAAGTTTCTGTGCTGTTCTTCATTTCCTTCCACACATTCCTCTTAAGATTATTCCTAGATGTTTTGTACTCTTATGTGCATGTTTTGCCTATTGTGAATAAATCTTCTTTTAAGCCATTATATTTTCTATTAGTGCTGGCATGCAGTAAAATTTTATTATAGTTTTTCAGTTGGGTTTTCACTATACATAATCATATTATCCTCAAACAATGCTCTTTTATCTCCTCTTCAACAGTTATGATTCTTGTTCATATATATATTTGCTGTACTTCATTAGTCAGAATTTTGGAGTAATATTGATGGCAACAGTATAAGCAATAATAGTGATGGGGTCATCCTGTTTTACATTTATTTTAAATTACTATTTAGATTTTAATATTGATTCCACACTTTTCTTGGAACAAGCTCATAATTCAGATAATTCTACCTTTTTTTTTTTTAACTTAGTACTAAGGCCCCTATACCTATCTTTCTTTGTAGCCTCTGTTTTTAATACTCATAATAAGAGATAACCCATAGTCTAACTTCTCAGCAAAACTTTGTTTGGCCATATTGCCTGCTTTACTCTAGCTTCCATTCACCGCAGAAGGTATTTTGGTTTTTTGGTTGTCCAAAGTACATTTTCTACCTGGAATCTAACTAGCTTTTGAGAAATTTTCCATTCCAACTAGCTATAGTCTGTTGGAACTGTAATGAGTTTGGTCCCCTGCCCTTCCCCTCAACTAAACAGATGGGTGGATAAAGCAAGCTAAAATGTTCAGAAAATCTTTCTCTAGAATTTGAATCTTTAACAGAGGAGAAAAGACGATGGTCTTTAGCAGAATGATTAGGAGAAAACAATAAAAACACACGCGTTTCCATTCCATCCACGTGGTAAAATCATGACCATACTGCTCTTGGTATTGTTGGCATTCTTGCTTTCTAGACTCCAGAGCTTGCTAACTGCCCATTTCCAAACTAAGTTATCCAGTCTCTAGTGGATTCTATGAGTAAAGAATCCATTTCTCATAAATTCCCTTTGAGAATAATTTTTGGTTGCATCTACAGAAAGAGCCTTAGCTTGATATACTATATTGTTGTGGTAAACACCAAGCAAGTGATTTCAACAACATGATTCTCCTTCTGCAAGTCCAGACAATTTCCAATCAAAACAGCCTCATGCTCCACTCTCTTTTCAAAGAGGAGTATTCATGTAAATTTCTACTCAGGAAAAAATGAAAATAAACATACTAGCAAGGAAGTTTGTTGGTACTGATTTATTGTTAATAAAAATAATCCCATCTTAAGAGATCATTGAACTGGAAAGTTCCATCCTGATTTTAAACTTGGTTTTTGAAGTCAATAATCCAATCTTTGGAAAATCATAAATATTTGCCAAGAAAGTAGGGCAAACCATATAAATGCCAGCTCATTTTGGTTTCTCGTGAATCATAGTTTCTGTTTAGTTGTACATAGTCAACAAGAGCTTGAACTTTAACTTAAATGTGTAAAGATATATACAAAGAATGATTTGCATTTTTAAATTTAGCAAATGATAAAGTGTACCAACAAAACAATTATTCAGAGAGATATTTTGAATGCTGCACTCAAATAATCTAGATAATGTAAGAAAGTAAATTTGTCTTTGACAGGTCTTGACCTTTTCTTCCACATTCTAAAACCCCTTTCCCAAGTCTCTAAGATCCCGGTGAATTCATGCTTCTCCAATATTCTAACTCGATTAGAATGTTTGACTGGGGCTGGTTCTATTGTCAATTCATATCAGCCTTAATATCTAATTTGTTCCTGTCTTTAATTTTTCCTGGGAGAAAGAAATCATTGACTCAGACAAACTAAAAGTTATCAGCATATTTATCAATTAAAGTGACTTTAGAGGCTTAATGTTAAGCCACTCACAATGGTTTATCAACGGCAAACTTTCCTCTTCATAAATAGGTCAGATAAGCAATAATTGAGATGATAAACTCTAAAATTTGTTTACTGGCCAACAGTTTCACAATGTGATGTATTAAAGTAATGTTTTTCAACCATGGCTGCTGCTGGAAAGCTATGATATAAATATAAATAATGTGAATACTCAGCCCTTATTTCAAGAAGATGATTTGTGATGAAGAGGCAAGCTTGGGAGCCAGATGTCATGGGTTTAAACTCCGGCTCCAGTATTTATCAGCTATTATTTGGACAAAATTACTTAAAAACTCTAAGCCTTAGTTTACTCACAAAATGAGGACAATAGTATTACCTACCTCACTGGACTATTAATTATTAGGTGAGACATAATGTCTAGCATGGGGCCTTGCATGTAGAAACACTCAGCAAACAGACATTATTAGCATTATTTCTTGTTATTTTATTATTATGTGCTAAGGTAGTGCTGATTCAGAAAAGCTGACATAGGCAAACATTAATTATGCAAAAGAATATAGCCAAAGATTTATTCCAAAGTCTACACTGAAGGAAGTTAACCTGGTGACACATTTTCACATTGTTAGTCTGCAATGTGTCAGTGTTTGGCATATAGTATGTTTGAAAGGCTGTGAATTTTTATTTCTTTAAAAAATAACACATAAAATGTGTGTATATATACATATAAAATATATATTTACATATAATACATAATATTGATATCTATCTGCAAAATAACTTATCTACCTAGCTAATGATATTGGATGAACGCTTCGTGTAAGCCCCAAGCACTTTAGTGTACAGCAGAATCCTGAAGCACTGAGACACATCCTCAGGCTTTGGAACCAGATGAGCCTGGTTTAAAATCCCAGCTCTCTTTGTAGTTCCTGTATGCCTTTGATCCTACAGCCCCCTAGTGCCTGAAATGGCCTCCTCTTCCACTCTACCTCCCTTAACTGGCTGACATTTACTCATTTGAAAAAACTCCTCTTTTAGGTTATTTCTCCAGGAAACAATCTATAATCTCCTCAGGCTAGATAGGCATCTTTCTCTGAACTCCCCAAATACCCCATGCACTTCTATCGATGCACTTACTGTTTATATTAAAATGCCCGCTGCCTCCACTGGACTGTGAATTATAGAAATTAGGCATTGTGCTTTATTCATCTTTGTACCCTATGCTTAGTACCACACCTGGCACAGAGAAGTCACTCTATGCATGTTTTCTAAGGAATAAATGAATAAGAAATATAAGGTATTCAAGAAGATAGAGCAATAGAAGTTAGAGACAGATTTGAGCCCGTCTGTCTGGCTGCAAAATCTACCCCTCTTTCCTATTTTAAGAAGTGGGGCCAACCATGGGAAAACTATGGGATTTGTACTTTTATTTTCGGCCAAGTTGAACCGGATGTACCTATATGGGTTTAATTTTGGCAATAAACGTGTATTCTTTATGATATGTACATATGTTGAATATCTCTTGCCTCTCTTGCATCAGCTAAAGTTTTCTTTCTCAGATTTACACTTTGCCTTTGCTTAATAGTCTGAGAATTCCCCAAACATTTGGTTCCTCAAATAAAGTTCTGTGATAAATATTTTCCTATCTTCACTAAGTACAACTATCTCCCCAATGACTTACAGTGTGAAATAATTTTCTAGCATGACCAAGCCAGAACAGATGATGTGTTAATGATGCCCTCTGGTCTCTATTTACTCGGAAGTTTGGCAAATAAGAGCAAAGTGAGAGAAATGTTGCTTATACTTGTCTCTTTGGACTGTAGAATCCAATTGTAGCTTCAAAATCTCAAACTGTAAATGAAGTGCAGTGAGCATTGATAAATACCCAATCAACACATTTAATTACTGTTATTAGCAATTCTCACAAGATTTTACTTTTAATGAACACAAGAGTTTACAAACGGTGATATCATATGCTTGA